GTCTTCTGAGGTCAGATTTGGTAGCTGAGCTGAACCAGACAGTTATAGAAGTGCAGAGGACGGATTCAATGATGGCAGAGTAGAACTTTTTCAGCAGCTCTTGAGGCAGGTTGAACTTCCTCAGCTGGCAAAGGAAGTACAACTTCTGCTGGGCCTTTTTGACAATGGACTCAATGTGAGTGTCCCACTTTAGGTCCTGAGAGATAGTGGTGCCCAGGAACCTGAATGTTTTTCCCAGCCTCACTAGCTGCTGCCTGTCTGTCAGGAAGCTGGTGATCCACTGACAGACAGGAGAGCTGAGTTTGGGCAGGAGGAGGTTTGGGATGACAGTGTTAAACGCCGAGCTGAAGTCCACAAACAAGATCCTCACATAAGTCCCTGGTCTGTCTAGATGTTGCAGGATGTAATGCAGTTTGTCTTTCAGACCTTTCCACACTGAAGCAGGATCACTGGAAAATAATTGTTTTTTTTTAGCTTTCCAGTATAATTCCTCTTTGCCTTTTCCAGTGTGTATTTGGCCTGTTTATACAAGAATCTGTCCTAGTTGCTCACGAGTCCTTTTAGTGTCATTTAGGTGCATGGAAAGGCAGTTTCTGTGTCATTCTGTGAATGTATGAAGACCAGAGATTAAGAGGTCTGTAAGGAATCTCAGTCTGTTCTTTGTCTCCTAGGTGGGGGAAGTCAATCCAAACAGCTCGTGATTACTATCACTGGTTTACATGATGGTCATGCTGTCCATTTCTTTGACCATTAATCTTGCTTACTTGCCCCAAAATTGACAAGAGCTCACATGTGCTTGCGGAGGAATGTAAACACTCACGAGAATGAACGAGCAAAACTCCCGCGGTGAATAGAACAGCTTGCAGTTAACAAAGAGCGCTTCTAGATCGGGACAACACATCTTCTTTAACGCTGTAACATCTGTACACCACCTTTCCTTGATGTAAAAACATATCCCGCCGCCGTGCGATTTCCCCGTTGATTCTGCGTCACGGTCTGCTCTAAACAGCTTAAAGCCGGGCAGATGTAGCGCGCTGTCAGGTATGGCGTCATTCAGCCAGGTTTCCGTGAAACACAGAGCAGCAGAGTTTGAAAAATCCTTGTTTGTCCTGGAGAGCAGAAGAAGTTCGTCCGTTTTGTTGGGTAGAGAGCGGAGATTCGCCAGATGGATGCTAGGCAATGGCGTTCGAAATCCGCGCTGCCTGAGCTTCATGAGCACGCCGGCTCTCTTCCCCCGTCTGTGAGTCCTGAAGCGCTTGATCAGCGCCGCTGCTCCGCCAACTACAACGTTCAGCAAAATGTCCGAATAATCGAAATCCGGTAGAAGATTTTGTGGTGTGTTCTGCTGAATGTTCAGCAGTTCATCCCTGGTAAAACTGATCATGTTTGAGAAACAAAAAACAGGAAAAACGAACAAAAACAGTACAAACACTGGAGAGCCAAGCACCGTGTGCGGCGCCATCTTACTTGCAATCTAGTTAGTAAGGTTTATGATGATCATGCTTTAAAATGTTTTAAAATTAGCTTTTTTGTTTCAGAGAAGCCATTGGTTTCATATGCTTTTCTTTCTTTCTTTCTTATAATATATGAATAGAAAATAGAATAATATGAATAGAAAAGTGTAAAACAGGTGGATAAATAATTACACTCGTCACTGCAGGTTTCCGACTTCACACAGCTGCCTGTAATCCATCTGGGGACATTACACCATATCTGACAGCAAAAAAGAGAGAGAGGAGGGGCGGTCACATGATAACTCTCACTCTTGTGCTGCTTTCTCTCATGTACATTTCACACACTGACCCACAAACACTGCAGCTCATAATGTCACACTGTCACACAAGCTGAATTGAGGAGAAATATTTTAAACAATTTTATTACACGTTCTGATTCATGAATGCGTAATAAAATACAGTTAAAGGGATAGTTCACTCAAAAATGAAAATTCTGTTATCATTTACTGATTCTGTTGGTCCAAACCTATGTGATTTACTTTCATCTGCAATATATAAGAAGATATTTTGACTTTTCACTGTATTAGCTTTTGTAGTTTTCCGTTGTGAGATATTACATTGAGAAACAATTGTATGTGCAATTTCAGCACCCGACCCTTTATTCCAGTGATGAGAATGAATAGCCTAAAATCTAAAATCTAAAATCTAGTCTAACTTCTTTATCCTAATCTAAAAAAAAAAAAAAAAAAAAAAAATCTTCTTTCTTCCTTTTGTATATACATGCTTATTACATATTATTGTAGCCCAGTTTGTGCTGGATACAGTGTAATCAGACTTTATCCATTAATATGTTTATAAGAAATTGAAAAAAGCACAAATGTCAGGGCATGTCAAAACTTCTCCAGGGCCCCAAAACCCCCTCACACCCCAGAGTTTTAACAAAACACAAAAAGTCATACAGGTTCCAAATGACATGGTGAAAATAATTTTCATTTGTGATAGAAGTGATTTTGCAACTCAGTATGTACGAATATTCCCACGTTTAGTTTTGTATTGGCCTCAGCATCTCTCCCTTTTTTTTTTTTAGTGACTTGGGTTCTGTCTTATGGAGCCTTTGGCAAACCCACTTGGTGTGAGTAAACACATTCCTCAACTGCACAGCGTGCCACAAGATTAGTTATGACTTTGGAGAATGATTTTAAGAGGAAAACTCTGTCTCAAAGAGAAGATTTGTGTATGAGGCAAGCCATGAGCCATGTGTGCCTTTCATGAAATGCATATGGTGCCCAAAACAAAAATCATCAGTATTAGAAGTTTGGCCCACAGAGCAGACAGAACAATTAAACTGGATTTAGCCATCATAGCGGATCTATGTGTGGAATGTGACATCATGATGCCATCATGTGAGAATGAGTTGAATAATGAGAAATTCCAGTAACAACTGTCCTCCATCAATTCGACTTTTCTTTTTATTAAAAGGATAGTTTACCCAAAAATGAAAATTCTTGGGTTATTCCAAAGCTGTAGAACATTTTTTAGTACATACAATAAAAGTCAGTGGGATCCAATGTTGTTTTGGACCCCAATGACTTTCATTGTATGGAAAAAAGCAGTTGAAGCATTATTCAAAATAATGTTTTTGTTCCACAGAAGAAAGTCAGTCATGTAGGATTGGAAGAATTTTTGTTTTTCGGTGAACTATCTCTTTAGATAGCAAATAGGTCAATACCGTTTTTCAGATTATGAACTTTTGTGGTTGAACTTTGGATGTTTTATGGTTGAAGATCACACTGATTTTCTTTGATTTAGAAGGAGCAGTCATGTTTAGGCTCTTCAAGGCCTGTCAGGAAGCCCCCTCATTTTTATTCATGAGCTCTTTTCAGCCTTTGTCCCATTAAGCGAGCAGACTTGTGGATTAGATCCGACTTGTGTCAGTAATATCATTATGAAAAAGTCATGACACCCTGGGCCATTTGTTCAAAAAGGAGGGAATTTAAAGAATAGCACTGTAGCTATCAGCTCTTTCTGCTTTTCTTTCTTTGAAGAGGTGTCTTCCTCCCTCACTTCCCCTTCTAGTGATCAATATGGGCCATCCAATCAATTGCTACACTCAATTAAACCTTTATAATTCCTTTCAAGCAACATGCGTTTAAAGAAACGTGAACTGAAAAAGCAGCCCATCCACATTAGCCTCT